ATGAAATGAATAGTATCATAGTAATTTTAAGGTAAGTTCCTTACCTAGCATTTTTGAAAGGCCAAATAACAATAAAAAATAGTTCTATTATTATGCATTAAGGTTTTATGTGGACTTATATTATGGACAGTTATGGCATCTTAGTTGACTTGTCACCATATGGTAATTATAACATGAAAATAAATCCTCAAGAGAAAATAATTCTATTTTAACAATTTAATTTATAATAATGGCCTCTTTATGTAATATTATCCACTGCCTTGTAGCAGGATTAAGCAAAACAAGGGAATTTTGTCTTTTCCTACAATATCTGCACGCACAAGAAGGAATAACTGTCATGCAAGTAGTCACATATATTTTCTTGAAATACCATGCTCTGGTTTGCACCTCTATTTGTACAAGTATCCTCTTCTTTTGAAGGATCGTATTCAAAATGTACTGCAACACTGCAAAAATGAAACAGTATCCCAATTTACCCTATCATAATGGTAATTTTATTTGATATGCATCTATCAGTATAAAGCCTAGACATAGTGCAAGTACTAATGTAACAAGTAACATATTACAGTGGTTGTAGTATAAAGACATAATAGATTAAGTTCTCCTCAGGAAAAAATTAATCCAGTGCCACTGATTTCAGTGGGGAAATGCCAGTTTGTACAAACTGAGGATCTGGTGTTTTTCACAGGGCTAATTTTGATGATTAATAAGACACCAGATTGATATTTGTTGTTGTTGAATTGATTGGTGCCTGATATCCCCACTTTATTATTTAATTCCAGTATCAACAGAATTATAACTTAATTTGGACGAGTGTGTGTGCATAAAAATGATGCCACACAGAGGTTATTTACAACAATCCTATCAGATGACAGCCAAGACTTGACTGAGCTATTTGTCACCCACAATGAAGCTGGAATTACTGAGGAACTGAAAACTCTCTCTCTCACACACTTTGCCTCTCTTTAGGGGGACATACTGTATCATTACTGCCAGCCAGACCTTTTCTCCTCCATTGGAATTAAATAGCAATTCATCAGAGATGATAATTAACAGCACAAAATGAACAGGATTAGAGATGGATGAAGGATGTTTTGTAGGAAAGGACAAACAATGGGTCATCTTCCCCGTCAAGTGCAAAGAATAGACAGCCAGGTGCAGTTTCAACTTGCTTTCATGGCTTAAAGAAGAAAAGTTTACTCAGACATAAAAGCAGGGAAAAGACCTGTTTTATATGAAGGTTTAGGTGTTGATGCAGTTTTACCAAATTATCTTCAGATGTTGAAGGAACATTCTCAGGACTGGTTGAGATATCCATCTCCTTGTCTTCCCCCTTTTGTAAGAAATAAAATACAAAGATATGGTAGTCTGTATGTGGGGAAAGAGATGCTAACACTGCTCTTGAATAACACTGCAGGAAACCATCATGGCTGAGCAAGGACCTGCTGGTCAGCCTGAGGTGTAGGAAGAAAGAGCATAGGCACTGGAAGCAGAGACACCTGACCTGGGAAGAAGAGTGTAGGCATGCTGCCCAGATGGGATGAGGAAAGTCAAGGCACAGCTGGGACTGAGCATGGCAAGAGATTCAAGGAATAACAAGAAGGGATTCTGTAGGTACAATGGTCAGAAAATACAGGCCAGGGAGAGTGTACCCCCTCTGATAGACAAGAAGGGAGATCTGGTAACAGCAAGCATGGAGGAGCCTGATGTACTCAACAACTTCTTTGCCTCAGTCTTCACTGTCAGTCAGGCCCCCCATGTCTCTTGAGCCCTGTACCCTGTAGATGTCAGCTGGAGAAGCAAAGTTCCTCCCACTGTAAGTGAAGAGCAAGTTCAAGAATATCTGATGAAACTGAACGGCTACTACTGGCATATGGGGCCTGATGACATGGACACCAGTGTCCTGAAGGAATTGGCTGATGGAGTTGCTAAGCCAACCTCCCTCCATCCTGTTTGAAAAGTTCTGACAGTCAGGTGAAGTCCCAGGTGACTGGAAAAAAAATGAAATATCACTCCCATTTTTAAAAAGGGTAGGAAGAAGTATTCAGGGAACTACGGTTCAGCCTCACCTCTGCACCTGGGAAGATCGTCGAACTGATCCTCCTGCAAACAATGTTAAGGCACATGTGAGAGAAGGAGGTGATCTGGAGACAGACAGCATATGGCTTCACCAAGGGCAGTTTGTGCCTGACCAATCTGGTGGCCTTCTCTGGTGGAATGATTGCATCAGCTGATATGGGAAGACTGACAAATGTCATCTACCCAGACTTCTGTTAGGCCTTTGACACAGTCCCATATGACATCCTGATCTCCAAATTGGAGAGATATGGATTTGAAGGGTTCTAAGAGCAAATTCTTTATTCTGAGAGTGCTGAGGCACTGGAACAGGCTGCCCAGAGACATTTTGGATGCTTCTTCTTTGGAAGTGTTCAAGGCCAAGCTGGATGGGGTTTCGGGCAACCTGATCTAGGTGGCATCCCTGCCCATGGCAGAGGGGTTTGGAAAAATATAATCTTTATGGTCCCTTCCAACTCAACCCTTTCTATGATTCTACGATTCTATGATTCTATGACTTTAAGGTTGTTCTTGGCCCTCAGACTTGAAACTCAATATACTCCAGCAGCCAGATGCAAAGGCTGGCACTATCAAACTATTTCTGAGGGGTGCATATCTTTTGTTTTACCAAGCTGTTTCAAATGGCTTCCCTCCATCTTACTCTTTCATTTTTATCACCCTTCCAAGGCAGGACTTTATGCACTATCATGCTCTGCTCAACTGTAATTGAATATTTGGCTATCAGTGCCTGACACTGGGTCCAGAAAGTTTCTCTTCCAAAGCAAAAGCAGGAGCTCTCTTTTGCCAATGGAAAGAGGGCTGCATCAGTGCCAGAAACCATGGAGTAGATGATGGAGCGATGAATGCTGTATAGTAGGTCCCATAAGACTTTCTATGAGTGCCTTGTGGATAGGACATAATGAATAAGAATAGTAAAATGTACATGGATACAGTAAAATGTGTGATACAGATTATGCAGGGAGAAAGGTATTATTCCTGTCAACTACTTTCTGCTGTGCACCCTGCTTCCTCCCCAGGTTTCACAAAGAATCAGGACAGATGAAGAAATCCACACAAAACACCGCCTCTAATTAATGTTGAGCATATCTGCAGGTTTGTAGTAACAGCAATAGGAAAAAAAAAAAAAGTTTTATCGCCACATTATATGACACCTCAATTCTAGCGATGTTTTCCTTGAAATATACTTGAAAATATATGGTCTTTTTTTTTTTTTTTTTTTTTTTTCTTTCTTTCTTTCCTAAACAACCTGCCTTTCCTGCAGGTTGAAGCCTAGAAGACATAATGACTTTTGACAGTATGCTTAAAGCTTAAGGACTGTGTGCTCCCCTTTATTCCTTTATACTCAAGAGCAGTGAGAAGGGCAGGGTTTTACAGTGATCAAATTACCAGGAGGAAAGAAAATATGATTTGTGCTCGTCTGGATTTTCAACATCTATCAAAGAGAGACAAAAGATGGGGTAAAACATAAGGAACCATGGAAAACATTGAATGTAGGGGTTTCTAATCTAGCAGCACTGGGATTTGTATATCAGGACATAGAAGTAAGTGAGCCATTTATAACCTGTGTGTAGGTCACAATTCATCACAATTCATTCCCTTCAAGCCAGCCTCCAAATCTAGAAATCCAATCAAATTGCAGTTTTGTCCCACAAAGAGATGCAGGTTTCTGTGGATAGCAAAGATGCTGTTCACTGTAAGAGCAATAATTTATAGCGTGATTTGCATAATAAATAGATATGGCTATAACTCAGACTGGGCCAACAGTTTTTAGACTCATTTTCAATGCATGCTTGATTATGCTCTCCCCTGATGGCTTTAGTCAGATATTCAGATGAACAAAACTAAGCATGAATATAGATGGCAAATAATGAGATATTCATTATGCAACAACACGAAACTATTTTCATATGGAAACAATATTTGTTTTTAATGGCCAGGTTAACAATGCTCATCTTGATTCTGATAGTAGTTTACACCTTCACCAAAGCACCATGTAGAAATGTTAAGCTAAAGTGACTGGAATTTATGTCAAGACAAAATATGGGTGACATCCTTCTAGTTTCTGTCTTTTCCATTCCTATGTTTATTTGAGGCTGATTTATAAACATGTTTTCACATGCCAACACCATATTCAGAGCTCAGTCTTTGTTTAACCTCTTCTGACGTGTACACTGGCTCTCCATCTTTCCAGGAAACTATGTTTGTTCCCATTACTCCATAACAACTTTCAAGAAGAAGGAATAGCACTACTGAACACACATGAGTACCTGCATTTAAGGGACAATTATCTTACATCAAAGTTTGTTTTTTTTTTCTCTTTTTAGAGTGATAGCTTACCTTACTCCATGATCATCAGCCTCACAAGAGAGATATCTGCACTGTTGATGAATATAGTTGAGCTGTAGCACAGCTATAGCTGAAAATATTGCTGAGGCCAATACAGAAAAATATTCAATGTATGATTCATGTTTCAGACATTTATTTTAAGATGAGATTAATTATGCCCAGCAAATCCTTACTTCCCTCAAGTGATTCTGAAAGAGCCAAAAGAAACAACAAAGATGCAGATATCTACACTTCTTATGCTCAGATAAATCTTATCCCTTGAAACAGTTCTTAGGTCTCTAAAATCTAGTTATATTCTGGGTCATAATAAAAATCTTTGTTCTTGTTCTTGTTCTTGTTCTTCTTGTTCTTGTTCTTCTTGTTCTTGTTCTTCTTGTTCTTGTTCTTGTTCTTGTTCTTCTTCTTCTTCTTCTTCTTCTTCTTCTTCTTCTTCTTCTTCTTCTTCTTCTTCTTCTTCTTCCTATTATTATTATTATTTAAGAATTTAAATAAATGAATAATCAAATGCTTACATTTCCATAAGCTTGTGTGTAAGTTACCATCACACTTGGTAGACCAATACTTTTTGCTGAATTCAGAGGAAAAATGTGTATGATTGTCATGATTTATTAGAATTCTTCTGTTTATGTCTTAAGATGTTTGGATCTACTGTATGATTCTTGCATTAAAGAAAATTTAAAAAGCTTTTTTCTCCCCCCCACTGTAAGGGAGTTTACCATGCTGATTTACTGTTGTACAACTGGAAATACAATCTGGTACACAGCAGGTGAGTCATGTAAGGCATGAGATGGTAAATTGAATTGGAAGAACAAAATAATATTTTAAACTGTGTCTTCTGTAGTTGGGAAGAAACCTGAGTAAACTTAAGCTAGATGATAGAAGACTGCTGAGAACTGTGGATCTACACTACTTGAAAGCACAGGTACTTCTTATATTGATTGTGAATTTCCTATAAATACATATGGATTTTTTTGTTTGTTTTATGTTTTTGTTATTGTTGTTGTTATTATTTTTATTTTCTAAATAACAGGTCTTCATGCTTGGCACCTGAATGATTCTTTGTTTCCAGCAGAGAAACTGTGGGTTTATGGCCTGAGAATAACAATAGGAATGTGTTTATTACTAGGGTCACAGCTGGAGATGATTATTGCTTTTTCTTTGTCAAAAGGAAATGCTACAGGGAGCTAAATGTGCTTTCAAACTGATTTAAGGGAGCATTCCTGGAAAACAAAGTCCTCTCACTCTGTTTTATTTTTCCTGTCTGAGATTTAGGTTTACTTTACCACAGGAAGGATGGAGGTCTGCATTATTTTTGTTGTGACAAGAAAAATTGCAAAGTTTTTCATGATTTGTTTCATTCAGAAGACTGGGGAGAAATCAAGGATAAGGGTTCTCAGAATTAGGGATTCTTATCCTCTGCAAACTTACAATTGTGCCAGCATATAGCAAATGGTAGTTAGACAGTCTATCTATGCCATACATCATAGCTTCATTCTCTATAGGCTGCTAAATCTAGAAAGCGCTGGAAAGGTCTTTTAGCACTGAGCTCTTGTGCTAGCTCAGGTAAAGTCAGTTTGGTGGTAACTGCATTACACAGTGCAGACATGTTGTAAATGCCAATCCAAAGCTTTCTGTAGAAAATAAGATGAAGTTTCTCTAAAGAAGGCATTCCCATATTGAAGCTCTGTGGCAGAAATGACTCTTTGCAAAAAAAGTCCAAAGGATAGTATTTAAAACATTTTAAAGACATATCTCATCTTCCAATCTCAGTAGCTGGTTCAGTCAATGGTAATCTCAGCAGAAGATTGGTATCAATCAGCCTTTTTATAGACATGAATGCATGTCTAAACATCATTTTTTGTAATTAATACAGTCCATTCTTCCACTCTCCCATTGACTTTGGTAGCTGAGATGTAATCTAATTTCATTTCTGTAACATAATCTTGTTTGTTTTTAGAGTACTTCCCCCTGCTAATATTAAAATCCTATTCATTTATTTGTATGCACTGTTAGATAGATGTGCATCTGTGGGTGGATTGTAAACATGCAAGAGCTGATATATGAAGAAATGTTGTTAGCAGGATGAAATTACTTAGGGTTGAAAAAACATCCAGAAAGCTCAATGTTTGATGAGCTTTTTCATGTCATAAATATAGACATAATATTCATAAGACAGAGGTGGCAGTGGTTCTCCAGAAACATGTGTCAGTCTGTTCATAGTCTTTGCAGACTGAAAGGGTATCTTTAAAAATTTCCTTTGCTGAACTACAGACAATGAAGTTTACATTTTATTCTAATTTCAGAGGACTAACTTTAAGAATCAGGAAGTCTCATGTTCCAGACTGATTCATCTGGTGAACATTCAAATTATAAATATAAACTGGTGCCTGGCCAGTTACAGACATCTGCAGTATAGACATCTTCAGCTAGGCTGGTCATCTCATATTCTTCTCAGTGTCAGAAGAGAGAAAGTGGAATTTCTGAGGATCAGATCATCTTATCAGAAAATAGACTTTAAAAATATATCAGGAGAGCCATTCATAAAGACGTCTATATCTCTCCAATTACAAGGCAACTGGTTCATGAATATTTTCACTGTAGGTGCTGAAAGCAGGCAAGGAATTGCACCCAAAAAATCCCCCATGGATGCTAAGGTGGATTTTGATGACTGGTAGGACTTAGATTAAGAGGACAACATAGTGTGTTTCAAACGTCTTTGACTTGGAGCTTTCTCACCACTAAGAGAATTATAAGCAGTTATGTCTCACTATGGATCATGTAGGGGGGTGTAGTCTGCAAGCCTTAGACACTGAAGGAGACCAAATCCACCCAAAGTGTCCTAGAAGAAACCCCAAATACAGTCTTAACTTTTTACAGTGGTTAGCCTCTTTGGTATTTAACAGATACTAGGTACATATATTGGAATTTCATATCTAAATACCTGTGACAACTGGACAATTACCACAACATGCAGTCATAAACTGGTATTTATATATCAGTAGTATATAAATATTTCAACTCAAATGGAAACACAAGTCATTTTAAGTATTACCTAAATATCCTACTTTCAGCATTAAAATATATGAAATGAGATGACAAGATAAAGGATGCCAGAGGTGAAAAGAGTTGTAACCTTAAATTATGAAACAAGTTGAGGGTAAACCAGCACAGACATCAGACTTCTGGAGCTTTACTATTCCATGAGGTCATATTGCCTTCCCACTCTGTGAATTCTCTAAGTAAATAAATACCAGCTACGGATAATGAACTCCATTACTCTAATTAAAAACAGAGCCTGCTCCCACTGCCTGGCCCTTGAGGAAATGCCTGGACATTATTCCCATGGCATTATGTGAATACATTAGAATGGCATGGTATATATGCTATTAAACTCCTGTTTAACTGAGAGACAGAGGCAGAGACACAGATAACACACTGAGATTAGGAATGCTGTATTGTGTTTGAGCAGAATTATAGATTTGAGTCATAGTATATCTGTTTACAGCTTGAAAGCTTTAAATCTGGGTTTATGTATAGATTAGCTCAGGTCCTGAAATGTGATGATCCTTTGAATGACAGTTTAGCCTTGGGATTATATGCAATGTAAAAAAAAAGGTATATAAAATATAAATTAACTAAAGATTAGTATGTATAAAATCTCTTAGTTCTTGCCTTCTCAACGCTAAGCACAAGGTAGCAAGAACTAACTGTATTAATTAATTATTTTATTTATTTATTGCTATTAAAATCTAAAAGGTTTGGTAACTTTTATTCCTATAAGCGTGCTCTGGCTGAAATCACTTACTTTGGCTTAATCAGTTTCCTACAGGTTATTATAAACAAAGACACAATAATTATAAACAAGGAAAAAAAAAATGTTTTAGTGCATAGATCAGTGATGTTGCCTATACCGCTCAATTCCCAATGAGCATTTTATCTTAGAAGAGATTCTTAAACTTAAAATAGTCAATAAAAGCCTTTTCCCTGAACTAAAAGTACCTTAACTGTTTTCTGTACTAACAGACTGAACAGTAAGCATAAATGCAGCTGTTACATCAGTTACATATCAGTCTGACAGGCCTAAGTATAGCTAGTTCTGCTTGTCTTGCGATTAATCTCAAGTAAAAGTAGGTGACAGTAATTGCTGTTGTTGGGAAATGAGTTCTCCTGAGAAGAGAGCAGTTCTGTGAATGCAAAAAATGTGGCATAACATGTATTGAGAGCTTACTGTGTCAAGGCAAAATTCCACATTCAGAAATAGGGAGTGAATTTATGCATCTAATGAAATATACATCTGAGGAATTCCTTTAAAATATTCAGCCAGAGTCAACCCTAGCATATGTCTGGCAGAGGAATTGTGCCTGTTAGTAAGCCCATTATATCTAAGGGTAGTATTCTATATTTTTGATTATGTGATTTCATCTGAAATTAAGGCTAAGTAAAATAAGACCATCATTAAAAATGGTCTAGATAAATAACTTCTGTTGAACTTAATGACATTGTCTTAAATTCATTACCTCTTATCTTTCAATATGCAGAGTAAGACATCAATATGTGGGAATTCTCGTGAAGGTCTGTAGGCGAGCCAGGCTGCTGTGTTTCTGTTATAATCAATGGAAAACAACTCTTTGCTGTCTGTGAAGTTCATAAAGAGATTCAGCTCAGCATATGTAGGTGCATCTTTTGTTGGAGGTGAGCATAGGTCTTTCTCACAAGCAACTTGATCCAGTCATCTTCTAGTGGCATTTGAGATGCTTGAAAGTAACCAGATCATAGAATCATAGAATCATAGAATCATAAAATGGCTCCAGTTGGAAGGGACCTTAAGATCATCTAATTCCAATCCCCTGACATAGGCAGGGATGCTACCCACTAGATCAAGTTGCCCAGGGCCTCATCTAACCTGATGCTGAACACCTCCAGGGATGGGACATCCACAGCTTCCCTGGGCAACCTGTTCCAGTGCCTCACCACCCTCTGAGTGAAGAATTTCCTCCTGAACTCTATGCTAAATCTCCCCTCTTTTAGTTTAAAGCCATTCCCCTTGTCCTGTCATTGTCTAATTGAGCAAGGAGTTGCCCTCTATCTTTTTTATAAGTCCCCCTTAAGTACTGAAAAGCTGCAAGACATCCATGTAGGGCTAGCAAGTGACACAAGTTTTAAGACAGAGCCATGCCACCACAAGATAGAAGATGGAGGCCAGACAATTCTCTGAAATGGCCACAGAGAAATACATATTTTATACTCTCTACTCTATAGTACTATATGTGTGATTCAGCAGCCTGTGCAATGCCTCTTGAAGATTCTCTAGGTCTGGCTTTTAGCTGTCACTCAGGAAGGGCTTGGACCTTCTGTGTACTCTGTGTCATGTCTGCGTGCCCATGCCGCTATCTCTGATGCTGCAGAAAGCAGTATGTGCCAGTGGTTAGGAGCTGGATATGTATGATAGGAGAATGAGGAAAACGGGCTATTTAAAAGGGATACAGATTTGGAGATTCTGGGGTCACAGCTGGGAAATGGGAGTGTGGAGAATTACAATTGGTGAGAAGCTGTTGAAGAGATGCTGAGAGGGATTTAACTCTCAAAGAGGAAACAGACGATTTGTTGTTGTTTTTAGAATAATTGAAGGCTACACTTCACATTTTTGAGGGGAATATATGTACTGCCCTTGTCCTCTGAGAAATAAAATAACCATACTATGTAAATTAAGGTAAAATAGATGATAGTGCTAGTCCAATTCCCTCACCTTTTCCAAAGCTGAAGATAAGACACATAGTATTGTCTGTATAGTGTGACATCACTTGAAAGGAATAAAAAATAATAAATAAATAAATAAATAGATAAAAGAAAAAGACAATTCAGATAATTACTTCTTATGCGTATTGCTTATAAAACCCACAGCAAGGGACAGAGTATTTTAGA